AAACAGAGGGCTTTGGGTAGTTGCCACTCCAGTCCAATCATTGCCAAGTTTTTTTTTTTTTTATACAAATCATTGCCAAGTTGATCACCCGTTGGGGCACGGACGCCTCACCGGTAACGTACTAAGTACTAACTCCCCACTGTTCGTTTCTCTTGTTCCTCCCAAATACAAGTACAGTTTAATAAATAGATCTTATAATTAGAATGGAAATAAGAACAATGTTAAAAAAAAGTTAATTAGTGCCTTGCATAATAGACGCAATGGGAAGTGTTACTATTTTACTTATTTTATACTCACATTGATTCTGTCACGATCGGTTTGTGTGAGGCAAGTGGTGAGAAAAGTAAGATCCGGCGGGATAAATGAGACTTCAAGTTTGGTGGAGGCAGGAGTGAAAGCCAAGAACAAGGAATGGTGCCACTACCTGATGCAGAGGTACGTCTATTGAAGTGACTTAATTAATGCGTCTAATCTGATTCGCCTTCTATGCCACTTGTTCTGCGGAAAATATCCAGTTCCATTATTGGCGCACTCTGTTAATTAGCCACGTCCGTGAATGCGGTAAATTTCACACATCCGTCATGATATTCTCTCGTTAAAAGAGAAACAGTAAAGTACATGGGCGTTACGTCTGGCTGGTGTTGCTCTCTCACTGCGCCCTTTTTCCTCTCCAGAGGAAAAAAGCGGGCATGCTTTTAAGTTCAGGTCGAGCTGCGGCTGCCCGTCTGTGAACAATCATGTGTTTAATTTACTTCATGACTCCAGTATCCATTAATTAAAAAAAAATCAGATGAAATTAATTGTACCTCATTGCCTCGGTTTTCATATTGCAGGTTTATGAATAAATTAACAATAGAGAGGAGAAAAACATTTAAGAACAAAAGTATTCTATATTATTTTTTAATAATATATGTATATTAGCCATTATCATTGTGCAACGATGCAAGGCTGTTCACGTATTTATACATTATTGATTATATATTTGAAAATAGAGTGGTGTCGTACAAAAATATAGTTCCACATTAAGTTTCAATCTCGTCGTTGTGTTATTTATTAATTTTTATTTTTTGATTAGAAGGAGAGTCACATAAATACATATAATTGAATCTGAATTTTACATTCCATCGGTATATTAACTAGGTGATACTCATGTATATTGCATAAGCCTGGCCTCTTATTGAAAATTGTATTTGTTCTTGTAAACCATGTAGTTTCGTATCAATTCACCCCTTGCAAAGCCAAAGTCCGCGGCTCTTCAAATGAAGAAGGTTATGTGATCAAACTTCCAGTATCATACTGACTATCATAACAACTTATAACTATTGATTAAATAGACGTGTAAGATCAACACAGACAGGCAAATCATGAAGCCGGTAACAGATTTATCTATAAAATCTTACTGCTGCTCATAAATTATTAGTAACTTCCTACAAAATTATATACTACCTCTGATCCTTAATATAAGATCTTGTTTGACTTTTATTTTGATTCTAAATATAAGATCCCAGTTCATTTTGTCTCATATATTTATTTATTTATTTCAAGATAGTCCTTCTAATAATGGTAGTTCTAACCAATATACTTGATTAGCAAGGATATTTTAGGAAAGACAATACATGTTTATTATAAATAATTAACTTAACTTCTTTCTTTAATATCTTTAAATTAGTCAGTTAGCTCTTATAATTAAGACCGGAGGTAGTAATTATTAATAATTGACTAACGATTGATTAAACAAAACACACGGTCGGGTTTCGCATACACAATAAATTTATAGACTCAATAATGTGTCCCCTCTTCAAATACATCATACATCATACATCATGTGAGTGATTATTATGAAGCAACATAAAAAATCCAGGCAGAATGGCATAGACAATATATCATAGACTAGTTGTAGAGCCACTATCTATGGTCCCATTTGATAAGAAACATTAAAAACGAGAGGTAGGGATTAGGATTATAGGGGTGTTTGGATGAAACCAAACTATGGTTTGGAGAATAATTTTTGAAGAATAGATTCTGGAAAAAAGTGATTCTAATAAAATGAGAATGTTTGGATAGTTGTTATCATAAGCACTTTTTATATGTGCAAATTAGTAAAAATGGCATAAGTTAATGTGATAATTATATAAAAGATAGATTTTATAATATATTTTAATTTAAAGGAATAAAATTATTAATAATATATTTTTTTACCAACATAAGTAATAATATATAAGATAATGTAATTAATAAATAATTAATATGTGTATATATATATTTATAAAATATAAGATTAAATATGTTTATAGAAAAATAATTGAGGGGTATTAAAGTCATATTACAGTTTGGACATACTCTGACGGACACAATTATACTTTCTAATTTGAGCCAAAAGAAGAATGGATTCACTTTTTCTGAGACCATGGTTTTGAACCCAAAACCATAGTTTGTTGGTTTTCCTCCCTGTTTGGCAAATTTGGAACCCAAACCATGGTTTGGATCCCAAAACCATGGTTTTAAGGATTTGCCGAACAGGCCCTATGACTGAGAAGATATATTAATAGAGTGTTTGGCATTAAAGATTGTCTGCTATATCAAATCAGACAAACCCATATATGTGGGATTAAGAAATGTCATGGGAAGAAGTGCTATTTTTCAATCCCATCTTCATGGATTTACTTAATCTCATGTAACAAATAATTTCTCATGCTAATTTTTTTTCAATGATTTTTGTCAATTACAATTTCAGTCTTTATCTTTCATGTTCAATATGCTTCGTATTAAATGCGACTTATGATTCACGGGCTGCCACACTCCCTTCACTCTTGTTCCTTTCTGGCCACACCCGCCACCCTACCTCGTCAATCAAACTGACATTATTAGTATTACCCACTTATTCGGATTTACCAACGTGTTCACTCAATTCCAGCATCTCTATTCATGTATGTGTATTAGGATCATACAATGAACCTGGTCTCTTCATATCTATTCCATAACTTTCCCACTGCAATAATTTCTCCCATCTCTCCACTCGTTTCTCTTTTTAACCCCTTCCATGTATAATAACAATGCATTAGCGTTACATCATGATTTTAGGCACGTAAGACATACTATTTGTCCCATTATATAATGCGGATACTTTTCTCATTTAAAAAATTACAGAGTGGCTGGAGTCGAGCGTGAAATCAAGGTTTTTTTGGCGGAGAGGCCATTCTCTCCTGCCTTTTGCCGCAACTACGAAACTGACCCCAAAAGTTTTACCAGTTGGAGCACTAAACTTGGCGCCACTGAGACCTGTCCATAAAAAGGGGGGGGGGATTCACGGCTCCTGGCATTTCCTTTTTCTTTTTTAAATGGCAGTGAATAGTAATACTTTGAAAGTTTCGATACGATTTTATCCAGAAATGACGTCACGCCTCAGATAAAACTGAAATTGTTTCTCTTTTGTTTTTATTAAATTTTTTTTTGACCAAATGTGCCCTAAAATATATTCGAACTACAATTTTTAACCTTTTAAAAAAATATCTTCGTAGATAAAGTAGGCATGACTGGGGTAAAAAATATTTTAGTAAGAACCTCCAAACTGAACTTAAAACATATAAAGTAAATGTTTGCTTTGTGGGATATTTATATGTACTAAACATGTTTCGGGTGCATTATTTGGAGTTTGAAGATTTTGTTATTGTGTTTTAGGAACCGGTATTTAATTTGAAAAATTTGTTCCGTAATACAAAAATATATTTACAATATTTAAAATAAAAACAAATCATACTGAATACAGTATTTAATGCTACTTTCGGTTCTAATTATAAGATCTCGTTTATAATTTATAAATGAGGTATTATAATTAGAATCGGAAGTAGTAATAATGTTACCTCTGCTCGTAAATACGGGGCTTGATTGATATACATATGATTTGATCATAAATATAATATCTTAACATAATTTCTCTACCAATGGCGTAAAAAGACAAACACAATTCCTCTTCCTTATTTAATATTTTCTAAATTAGTTTTATTAATTTCACTTTTTTCCATGCTCTTTATCTCCTATACTGAATACCCACATTAAAAAATAGGAACATTTTAGAAAAAATAACAAGTAATCTTTATACACTAACAAATAGTTTAATCAATTTTCACAATCCTCCTAAATTAATTGATTACGTAGATTAGCATATTTAAAATCAAAGAAAGTAAGTTATGAGGGAAGTACTCCCTCTGTTCCTTATTATAAGAGACATTTGATGCTTATAGCATGTTCCTATATATAAGAGACATTTAAAAATTATCTCTACTTTTTTGTGTTGATTTCCTATTTTACCCATATTTATTGTCTTCAACTCACACTCTCTCTCCTTCCCACTTCTCTTTCTTTTAAGAATTTACCATTGTTCTCTTTCATGCTCTCTCTCCTTATTAATGAGGACATTTTTTGGAAAAAAATTATACTTTTTACACATTAATTGTTCTTAACTAATTTTAACTGTTTTTTTATCAACGTAATTCGGTTATTCGTCTCTTATAATAAGGAACGAAAAGAGTATAAACGTATATATAGTTGAGGTTGAGGTCCGCGAAGTCAATGACAGAAATTATAAAAAGAAAAAAAAAAAGGATAGTAAATCGATAATCACAATAATTGTGGCACTAATAATAACAGTTGAGAGAGAGAGGGGGAGCCACAATCCCTGGCGTTCAGGGAAACAAGTCAATCGCAAATTGAAAGTCTTTGATTCACCAAATGCGGTAGATTCCAATTCCTCCAACGGGATCCAATCACAATTCCCCAAAGTGACTGCTGCTTCGGAGTCTTGAAAAAGTATCCAAAGCTCCCCGGCCCCACAATTTGTAATCACCCCAAATGCTAATTACTACTCCGAATTAATGCCATTAAAAAGCTGATTAAGGGTTGACGCACCATTTCTTTTCTCATTTATAATGACCTCACTCCCATGCTCCCCCCCCCCAAATCAACGGCCCACATTCACTCCTCGCTTTTTGGCTCTCATTTTTATCTCCCTCCTTCCCCCGTTTTCCCCTCCCCCAACCTTTCCTCCTCCTCCTTCCACACCAATCCTCAACTCCACACAGTAGTTTTCAGAAACCAGCAGCAACATGTTGTTGGGGAAGAGACCTCGCCCTCCAATGAAGAGAACCACCAGCTTGTCGGAAATTCCCTTCGATCTGAACGTCGCCCCCGATGCTCCCCCAAACGATCCTAACCATAACCCTAACGCCCAGCCCTCCTCTGATGTCATACGCAAGCAGCCTGGTGGCTCCACGCGGTTGGATCAGAGGGCGTCGCACACAAACCATAGAAGGCATTCCGCCGATTTCGTCGAGACTGCAGACTTCCTTCGTGCTTGCTTTCTCTGCAAACGTCGCTTGGTGCCCGGCCGTGACATCTACATGTACAGGTACATATCTGCGTCTCTATATCTCCCTCTCTCCTGCTTTGCGTGTTTCCAATTTGTCCTGGTTGTAACTTCACTTTACTCCCCCTTGGGTTTGTAGATTATTTCCCTCCTTATTCAGGAACAGGTAGAGATGCCCCCGGATTTGCCATGAATCGGATCTAATTTGGGGGCGATGTATTGTTCTTGTCTTCTTGAATGTTTTAAGGACTTCATCTTCTTAAATTTCATGTTGAAATTCGTTGATTGAAATGAACTGAGCGTTAAATATTGTGCGTTGAGTATATTGGATATAATTTGCAGGGGTGATAGTGCTTTCTGCAGTCTAGAATGCCGTCAAAAACAGATGATTCAGGATGAGAGGAAGGAGAAGCGTTGTGTTGTATCCAATAAACAAGTAGTGGCGAAGGCTTCTGAATCTCAGGTTGCCACCAAAGGCGAAAGCGTGGCTGCCTTGTAATATCGCAGATTCATCACGGGATACAGTCCGAAGATGCAGCAGTTCCTAGCTGTGCGCCGCTGTTAAGAATTTCAGTGAAATATGTTGATATGCACTCTCCCCACTCTTCCCCCGCTCTCTTTTCTCTTTTCCCTTTGTTTTGTAAAGTTTGCCCTTCTGTTTTCTTGTTTTGTTCTATGGAGGGTGAGAATTGGCCGCCTCACCAGCTTGTAGTGGGGCAACTGGGCAAGTATTTTTGGACGTACTTTGCAGTTTCATTGGGATTTTGATATCTTCTCCGATTAATACTATTTAGTGTTGACGTTTCCTGTCCCGCTCAAGTTTCAATTTGTTTTCGTCGTTTATTTCTCCTTTCACAGTATAATGCCATATACATGTGGTCGGGGGTGCAGTAAATGGCAAGATGAGTCGCGAGTTCTAGAACTTGTATGTTCAGTACCTTTTCATTGGTTTCGAAGCCCTGAGGATCACAAAATTTTATAATTTAATTTTTAGGCTTTTATTGTAATTAGAATTCATTCCAAGGCTCAAGAAAAGTGATTTTTGACTGAGGACGGGATAGAGATCAGAGAAAGAGGGCTGTTGTTAAACCGAAGATCAAGCTCATAAAAGCAGCCAAAGGGGCACTCACAACTGTTTGGAATATATTTATACGCGGGGAGTGATTCGAGAAACTGGAGAGATCAGCGAGAATTCTACTTTGAAAGATTTGAACTCGATGAGTTCCTTATTCGGAAATGTAGATCGAGATTAATGTTTCAATACTAATTAATTTTCTGACGACATCTATAAATTAGGAATAATAAAAAATTAATTGCAATGTTTGAAGACAAAATTGGATGGGTAAAGGCGGTTAAAATGGTAGGGGAAGATGACAGCAGGGAGAATCAGACCAGATGGCTGAAACGTAAACGATGAAGTCGGTTGAATAAGACCTTCCTAGTTTATAAGATTCGTTAATGTAGTGTATGATACAATAATATACTACCATTTTCAATGAAGAAGAGAGATAAATGTTTTAATGTATGAAGTGATGTGTTATGATTGATGAGATGGGCCTTGGAGTAGTGATGGTGGAAGTATAAGACATGGGGAAATAGAGAAGGGGGTGGGGTGAGGAGGGAGGTACGCGGCGGTGTGGGTGTCCTTTGGGAAGGAGTTGGGGACCACTGATGGCCTCATGGGTGATAGGCAGCACATTGCCCAACCTATTTTGCTGCCCACCCTTCATTCGCTTCGTTTCACTCTTCCTCTTCGTACCCTTCCTGTCATTGTCGCCATCACTCTCTTTTCTTCTCCCTTCCTTCCAAAACCTACCTCCCTTCCTAATTAACTTTCCCGTTTTACTGCCTTATTTATATACCATGTGCTAGCCTCACACCCCTAATGAGTATATGCCAAACCAAACAATGCGCATGCCTGGATGCCCGCCACATTATCACTTTTTTGTTATGGTCTCGCGAAGAATACCTTAAATATTGGTGCTGTATTAATTCCCCAGAATGTAAAACCAGGTGTTGCCAGTACTTTATTCCGGCGATATGGGCCGTTTTTGGCATTTCATCGAGAGGGACAACAATTATATATGGATTAAGAAAGCATCTTGTTCTCACCACTAGAGATTCGTGAATTACACATGTAACTCACCTTCCCATTTTATCAGGTTTAATTTCCGCCTTTTGTTCGTAAAATATGTTTCAAAAGGAGAAAAATTAAGGAAACGAGAATGATTTTTTTTTTTTTTGTAAGCGATTAGTATAAAAATCCATTTCTTGGAAAATAACTCGATTGAGAGACCAAAATGTGTGTGAATTATGTCAGGTGATGACTAGAAGACGACCAACCAAATATATGCGTTCACGAGCGGGGAGACGGGTATGCTGTGTAAGAGTTCCCAATTGGCTGATAATTAGAGGGAAGGTCAATGGTTCCATGCACGAGAGCATGAAAGCTAATGCCACTCTATAAGTTGACTCGATCTCAACAAATCTCATTCCTACCATCATTTCAGGAGACGGCGTGCCGCATATATATAAATCTCACAATATATGAAAGTGGACACAATTTTTCAACAATATAACACTGTATTATACTACTCCTCTGGTTCTTAACAGATGACTCAATTGTTGAGTTGGTTTTTGTCCTAAATATAATACTCATTTCTCATATTTATCAATTTTCTCTAAATTACCCCTATGGATACTCCATCAACCATAGTCAAATCGAAAAGGGAGATGAGGTATTAAGAAAGATGATTATGGTGTTTTAGGAAAATGTGTCACTTTTCTTATAATTAACCAACTTACCTAACTTTTTTAATTTAATCAAATTAGTTAAATGGGTCTTATATTAAGGACCGGAGGAGTATTATTTAAATATTACCTCCGGTCTTAATTATAAGAACTAGTTGACTAATTTGAAGAGATTAAAAAAATAAGTTAAGTTAGTTATTTGTAATAAATATGTGTTGTTTTTTCTAAAATATCACTGCTAATCAAGTATGTTAGCTAGAACTATCATTATTAGAAGGACTATCTTGGAAAAAAAAGTACAAATATTAGAATCAAAGTGGATTGCGGTCTTATATTTAGGACTAAAATAAAAATCAAACGAGGTCTTATATTAAGAACCGGAGATAGTATATACTTTGCTTCTAGATATTTTAATTAAAATATAATAACTTGATTTTATTATACATCTCAATATATACTATCTCGTTTGGTATTATTTTATAAAGTTCCGTGTCAATTCTTATTCGAAATTTAATAATAAATAGTTTTAATCAATATATATAATACAAATTTCATATTAAGTCAGATTATTTTTTGGGTTATGCATGGGTTCGCATCCAACTATAGTCATTAAAATATATTATTGTAAACTTGTATACGATACGTGCAATAAGTCATATTATTAATGAATTAGCAGTGCAGCGTTTTTCCTCCATGAAGATTGCATGGAAAGATCGACTGGCTCCCAATTTTTGTGAGCCAAACGTCCAAATCAAATAATTGGTAAGTAATAATATTATTATTATGACAAATTGCACAGGTAGTCACGTCTCGTGACCCAGGCCATCAAAATCTAATTAACTAACCCCCGTACTCGACGCTTGACTATGACCCCCCTTTTTACAGACTTACATCATACATTATTGTCATTGACTGGCCCATGTCGTACGCATATTTATTTAATATAAACTTGCCGTCACACTAAGAAAAGCAGTCCCAGAAAATAACTCATATTGAGGAATTTTATTTTAAGAATATACTTAAATATTTGATCACAGCCCAAACAGACGACGACCACGCCCAAGGATGATGATGTTCTTTCTTCTGAGTTTAAATTTTGCTGGTCTGAACTCTGAAGAAAAGATGACAGCCACCCACCGTACCGGAACTTCCTACGAAACCGGTAGGGGGTTTTGTTATGTTTGGTTCGGCGTGCAGACCAATGGACGCCAATAGCGCCATACGCAATATGACGAGTTTTGAATCATATCTGATAATAGTTGCATATTTAATCAAACATCCATTCTAATATATGGAAATGGAAGAAGATGAAACGAAAGAAGCTTGCATTTTTTTTTTCCTTGGGTGAAATAAAGGGATACAACCTCAAAAAGGAAAAAACCAATTAAAAGCGAGCTACTCTACGCGGACTCTTCTCGGGGTTCCGATGCCAAGTATGTCTCGTTGTAGACGTTCCTGCAACTCCGGTGGAGGTATGTCCCGTATCCTTCTTCGTTGATTCTGCCTGAGGCCATGATGAGCGATCCTATCAGCACAGTGGTTCGCCTCTCTGTATACAGCCTTTAGTGTTACCTGCCATTCCCTTCTCCTCATCTCGTTTATCTCTTCTGCTAGGCTACTGTAATCTTCACTTTGTGGGTACTGCTGTATTTCTTCTACCACTAGCCATGCATCACTTATTCACTTTCCGCTTCTACGTGTTGGAGTCCTAACTCCCAACAGAGATGTAGTCCTTCTAAAATCCCCCAGACCTCCGCTGTCGCTGTCTCGCATCTTCCTAGGTTTATAGAGAAGCCTTTCAACCATTCTCCTTAGTCTCCTCGAATAACAAGAAGCTTGCATTTTAAAAGACTAGTAGTATGTAATTCTCCTTTGAACGAGTGGATCACTGTCTGTCCAAAACAATTTGCCTTAATTGGGTGAGTTTGACCGCACATCTTTATTACTTCCTCCCATGTCGGGTAAATACGCCCCCCTCAGTGCGTTTTGACCCGGTAATTTCTTGTCATCAGGCATCGCATGATTTTTTTTTTTTTGTTAAAGCACAGGTATCCTCCTATTGGGGGTAATCCTATTTGGGACATTATCGAGTACTAAATGTAGGTATCTCTCCTGATGGGGATTCAAACCTTCGTTTGTCACATTGTAAGGGACTAGCCTCTTCTGCTAGAGCCAATCCCCATTGGTCATGCGTCGCATGATATTTCTACTAGTTCTAGCAGTTCATGTTGGAGCCTGTGGCTCGAGCTAAGGCCCAGTGAGCCCAAGCCCAGCTCCGATTCCTTCTATTATATTCCAGAGCTCATTGCATTCCTGTTAATGATAACTCATGTTGCTGCTTTTTCACGTTTTTAATATTCACGACAAGGAACTTCATTTTAATCCGTTGTCAATTAACTTTCATCAGTCCTGATATTCTGATTAAAAAATTTTTTTTTTTGGGGCATAGGAAGGATAGGATTTTTTTGTTGCTACGTACATATATTTTCTTATTAGGAGCAATGCTATTTGAAATTCTATTAGGTACTAAATATAGGTGTCTCTCTCAATGATGATTCAAATATTGATTTATCACGATGTAAAGAATTAGTTTCTTCTATTAAATTTAAAGTCTTAAACCCCTTTGGGATCCGAATACCCATCTTTATGGCATGACCTGAGCCCCGAAAGTGAAATAAATGATTGGGCTTGTTATATTTGAACGGTGAACGCCAAAATGGGTCGTGGGCTCAATGTCATTTCCATTTAGCTTGCCCCCCATCTGGGCGTTAACTGAGCCCTTGATCTCATTTGCCTTTCTTCTGGCGTTCTTGTCATCTGTTTAATTCTGCCTTTCCTTTCCCCTTTTTTTGGGCCTGGATTTAATTCTGCCTCTTCATTTCTCATCGTCGGGGTTTTGGGACGAGCTCACTGCTACGTTGGGTAGAAATTATTTTTGTTCTTAAGTATTGCTTCCGGTTCTTAATACTCTTCCAGTTTTTAATATAAAATCTAATTATTAAGTTGATTTTGATCTTTATCTCATTTATCAACCTTTATAATACTCTCTCAACCATAATCA